TGGTTAAACAAGGATGGCCAGTGGCAGGCACACAAGTCTGAACAGAGTGTTATTCAATATAATTGTTTTGATCTTTGGGAATTACTTATAAAATAGTTTTTTTTTCAATCAAAAAATTAAATTTACTTTTTTTAAATTAAAATAATTTTTTTGAGACAGTCTCTCTCTGAAGCCCCAGCTAGAGTGTTATGGCCTTAGCCTAGCTCACAGCAACCTGAGACTCCTGGGCTCAAGTGATCCTCCTGCCTCAGTCTCCCAAGGAGCTGGGGCTATAGGTGCCTGCTACAATGCCCAGTTATTTTTTTTAGTAGAGACAGAATCTTGCTCTTGCGAGGGCTGGTCTCGAACTCCTGAGCTCAAGGGACCCTCTTGCCTCAGCCTCCCAGAGTGCTAGGATTACAGACCTGAGCCACCACACTTGGTATAAAATAAATTTAGAAAAAAATAGAAATGGGGAGGTGCTGGTGGATCAGTGAGTGGGGTGCCTGCCCCGTATACTGAGGGTGGCAGGTTCAAACCCGGCCCTGGCCAAACGGCAACAACAACAACAATAACAAAAATAGGCAGGCACTGTGGCAGGTGCCTGTAGTCCCAGCTACTCGGGAGGCTGAGGCAAGAGAATCGCCTAAACCTAGGAGTTGGAGGTTGCTGTGAGCTGTGATGCCATAGCACTCTACTGAGGGCAATAAAGTGAGACTCTGTTTCTGTTAAAAAAAAAAAATAGAAATGGAAAAAAAGGAATCTTCAGCTATTGCAAATGACTAGTACTAGTGTGAAATAATTCCTTACAGAATTTCAATCTTGGTTTCAGTCTCAGTCTCTGCTAACTTTTTCCTTAATCTTTGAATTTACTGTACATACTGTTTTCTAATATGCTTGTTACGAATGAATGGAGTGTCCCTGTTCTACAAGTTTTCATTTATCTTTTTTATGGATTGCTGCCTCCTGTTCTCTCTGGTTCAGTTTGTTATTTAACTTGAAATGAAACAATGACTGGTTTACTTCTAAAAGGAACATAGTTACTCAGGGGCTTAGACTATTTGTGGAAAGAACCCTCTGTGGACTTCCTTACTTACTGTGTTTATGGGCTCCAGGTTTTAGGCCAAGTTGTGGAGCATCAAGGGTGAGATTGGTCAGGCTTTGCTCATTTGCTGCCGTAGGTTCTGAGCCTAACACCTGATTTTGCCAGGCTGGAGTTGGACACAGAATGAGTTTCCCAGAGAAAGGCACATAAGATAGCATTTGCAGCCCCTGAGTCCACTTAATTTTTTTTCTGTTACTACATATTATAAATTCTTCATGATTGCCAAGTGGGATCACAGTTCATTTTTACATTTCTTGTATGCTACTCACTAAACTGTTTTTGTCATTGGCATAATAGATAACTATAGCACTTGACCAAATTATGTCCTATCTTTGGAGCTGTTACTGATGGGAGGTAT